CCTTCAGTCACCACTAGCAGCGCTGTGGAGCATGTCGTCCTGTTATGTAAGCTAGCATGACAGCAGGGATTACCTTGGCAACCTGCCGTGATCTAATGAGCTTAACTGATAACATGAAGGCTGAATATACGTACGACTGATGAAGTACATGCATTTGATTTAGATCAGTCCGGCTAATAAGGTCAGTGATGTTGCAGAGACTGATCCGGTGGATTAACTGTTTGGATAATTGTACTGTTGGTAATGATTGTTTGATGGCTTTGTGCCCCCGGTTTAATGCACAGTAGATGATGGTCTTTGTGCATCTTTTGGAAATTATCTGCAGTAAGATTTCAGTCTCCAGTTGTTGATTTAACCCCTCAAAAGTCACAAGTTACTATTTAGAAATCGTTTTATTTCAATGAAAATAGTCCCTTTGTACCTTTAAATGGCTTAGATGTAAACCAGGGGTGGGCGATCCTGGTCCTCGAGGGCCACAGTCCTGCATGTTTTAGATGTTTCCCTCTTCCAACACACCTGATTCAAATGATCAGGATGGATATCAGGCTTCTGCAGAGCTCGATGATGAGCTGATCATTTGAATCAGGTGTGTTGGAAGAGAGAAACATCTAAAACATGCAGGATTGTGGCCCTCGAGGACCAGGATTGGACACCCCTGATGTAACCCTATATTGTGGATGTGTGGATTTATGAAGTTCCTGCCTCCACATCGCTGCAGCTGAAGCACACCAGCTCAAACACTCCTCTACACCACACAGTGGCAGCTTGTAATGTTGCAGTAAATCTGCCCAACGCATTTGAACTAGAAACCGAAAGAGAATCAGTGTCTGAATCTGTGTTTCTGAGACCATCTCTGGTCCTCAGCCACAGTGTCGACTGCTCATTTTGCTCATGAAAACACACCATCTGGACGACGAGGTAAAAAACTTTATTCTCCCCAGAGGGGGACTTTAAAATCTTACAGCTTACATTTGGTTGGGGTTTGTTATAGTTTGAAAGATGGCACATTTCATTCTTATGCTGCAACATTTTTTTTTTTTTTGTCTTTAAAAAACATTATCAAAAAGGTTATGATTTGATTTAATTTATTTAAAAAAGGCAAAGTTTCCAAATATGTATTAATAGAGATATATATATATGCTAAAGGTTGAGTATGTTTCTCCAACACCCACTCACAGTCTTCCTCTTTCTGTCTTTCTCTCTCTCTCTGTATCACAGTTAGCTAGAGGCTGTTGCCACCCACACACTCCGTCCTGACAGCAATTTACATTCAGAATAGCCCATGTGAACGCATCCATGTGTTCTAATATGTCACGTTTACTTAGATAACCACATTTCGCAGGTGACTGTTTTAGTGGCAGGTGGAAATATGCTAAAATATTCCTCTGCAGGGTCGCTCGATCGATTAGCTCTGCCTCCGAGGAGCGAGCGTTCGGATCCGGCCCCGCGTGAGACACAACAGAAACCGAAATCTTTCCTCCAGATGAGGACGATTCCCCCCCTCCCCCCCTGCGGGCCGGCTAATAGGTCCGATCGCTCCGCTCACATGTCTGACAGCAGAAACAGTGTTGTGCCGCACGTTGCTTTAGTGTTTTTCATCATCTTTATTGTGCAGTTGTGTGCCAATATCTTCTACAGTTCAAGTAGAAGCCCTTGGAGTTGTTTCCATGGATACCAAACAATTAGCTGGGATTCAGAATAGAACCTGGAGAGTAGCCTATTTACAGGCTTTGGGAGCGAGGAAATCATAGGATGACAGAGTGTCTTGATTCTCTGTTGCAAAGGGAGGAAAAAAAAAAGCAGCTCCTGTGGGTAATGGGTAATTTCTAAAAAAAAAAAAAAGGAAAAAAGCCCCAACAGATCAATCAGAGACGAAAATAGAACAGCAGAGTGAACATGAACATGAAACGTGATCACGCTTCAAGCTTTAAAAAAAAAAAAAAACTACCTATGGATGAATCAGTTTAATGCACGCTTAGAAAACATCACATATTCGGGGACTGCTGTCGTTTATGCACCGGCTTAAAGATGCATAAATACAAACGGCTCCTTTTATTGCTTCTGTTTTACAAAGGCTGAGTTGTGTTCTGATGGAAGTAGGAGAGCTTTTTAAGTGGAAAAAAAAGGTATGAGAAGGGAATAAAAGAATTAAAGATAACAATCCCCATTTTCCCTCATATCATTTTCAGTTCCTGACTCATTTTAACTTATTGTTGCTCATTTTTCACGGCAATATAAAGTCCTGCACCTCCGTAGAAACAGCACAACCACAGCTGGAAGTAAAGGGAGCCGAAAAATGTATTTTGTGCAGCAGATTCAGATTCAAATTCAGATTCAGATTTGCTTTATTGTCATTGCAATGAGTGCAACGAAAAGTAAGGTGCAGGCCTTTGAGTGCAAAAAAATATAAAAACTTTGTAAGCAACTATATACAACATACTATAATATATATATAAACTCTATATAAAAAGATGAAATTAAATAATAAGCACAGTGTATGTTGCACAGAGGTAGTGGCATATTAACAATATATTGGACTTATTACGATAAAGAAGCATTTATGGCTCAGTATGACAGTTATAATGCTAGAAATAAAAAAAAGAAAAAACAAAGTTAAAGTTCTTCCTTATTTTGAAAAGAATTTAAAAAACCTGGAATCAGCGTGTACATCAGTGTCCTCAGGTGTTATTAGTGCTGGGGGAAAAAATGGTGCCTCTACATACAGTCAACTTTTTACTACTGAAATTTTTAATTTGTTTTCACACTTTGTTAACACGGCCAGTTCATCCCAGTTCAAATGAAAATCTCTGACTTGTTGTCAAATGACTGTTGTTTGCAGGTGAGTCACTTTTTTTTTTTTCCAGTCACACTGAAGAGTTCAGTATTTTTTTTTTCTGAATCTCATCAGAGCAAACAGGTAATGTTTGTTGAATTTTAAAACGAGACGTGTGAGACAAAGTGATTTGTTTCACATCACAGACGAGTAAATCGAGGACCTTATGAAAGTTCAACATCAGCTGATTCCTCCTGTTTTAACAGGTTCTGGTTCGGATAAATTGTGTAGTTTTGTCATTTGTAAAATAAAAAACCTTTCAAACCCACCAGTATTAAAAATAGCTTATCAATCTGTTATTTTTTCTTCCTGCAGACAACACTTTCATACCTGTAAATAAAACATAAGACAGCAGCCAAGAGCTGGTTAGCTTTAGCTTAGCTTAACTTAAAGACTGGAAACAGGGGGAAATGAGCCAGTCTGGGTTTGGCTAAAGCTAACAAAAACGGACTCTTCGCACCTCTAAAGCTCACAGATGAACACAATGTATTTGATCGTTGGATGCATCAAATGTTAAAGTGTAAATCAACAAGTTTTACTGAGGTTTTTTTGCGCTGTAAACTTTTGATACCTTTTGAAGGAATCAAGCTGTTTCCAGACTTGAAGCTAAGCTAAAGCTAACCAGCTGCTACCACTGCTGTATTAAACTTTGATGCAGCTAACTCCTACCCAACTCTGCGAGCCGGATTTCCCAGAACGTCAAACTATTTCTTTAAATTTGGCAACCAGAGGGCACTGGACACATTTGCCTTCATTCTATTATTAAAACGTCTCTTTCATTTCTGCTGCTTGTAAAGGACCGATAGGGATGATGGAGTAATATGGGAGCAGCGTTCCAACCCTCACGCTTCTGTGCACCGGCCTCATCTTCCTCGGTCAATACACACAGTCATGTTGAGAAAACATCAAACGCGATTCCCTAAAGATAGTTGCTCATACTTTTATAGATCCACCACCATGTTCCAGACTTATTCTAGCCTGAAGTCAGACTCAGACCATAGGTTTCGGGATGAGTCATTGGAGTGAGTCTTCCTTCCAATATAGTTCTCGCGTCGGGTTTTTGTGTCATTTTCCGCCGTCCTTGGATGCAGAAAAGTTTTCAATGGCTGATAACAAGTAGCTGTTTGCGCAGGTGTCCTTTCCAACTGTCACGATGTTGTTCTTTGTGGGTTTTTTCTTCTTCTTTTTTCTTTGGGGCTCTGTAGTTGTTTGTTCTTGTCGGTGTTGTTCTTCAGCTTGAGCTTTACTGTGCTGGTATCTTGCTTGTGAAAAGTGTGTGTTCTGTCGTGCTTTCTGATGCCGTTTCCCTTTTTCTTTATAATGTGTGACCAAAGCAGCAGCTGCCAGGTAACGACACGAGCTACGTGTAGGATCGCTAATAACCTGTCAGGATGTAGTCAGTGAATAAAGAGTCGCTGTTAACTAATACAGCAATAACAGGCCAATCTGTACCTGATAATGTGGTGATAAATATTATAATGTACAAAACCAATAATGTCATTTTAAGTTACAAAATTAGTATTCAACAATTAGAATTTTACTAAATATTAAGCTCATGCAAAATTGTACCAATGTGCTTTATTTATTTTATGAGCTGTTTCAGGGGAAAAAAAGTTTGTTTGGTTGTTATAATATCAAATTTATGAGCAGCTCTCAGAGACGTTTCTGTAATCGTGTTCATGGCTTCATGGTGTTTAAAAAAAAAAAATTCTCGGAGCACTTGGTACTATGAGTCAACACACAGCTAACTGACATTCAAAAGTCTTTCAGCTGTTTCGGTACCAGATTTGTTGCCCAAGTTTTTAAGAATTAGTCTAAAAGGAGGCAAAAATGTATTTCATATTTAATATCTTTATCTCTGTTGACTGCCAAAATGTTGTAGCTGAGTACGATTTGACTTAAGTTGTCATAATTGTTGAATTTATTGCTAAACAATAGCAATTTGGCACAAAACGCTGGTATTTACATATGATATATTAACATGGCCTCAACTCTGTTTCAGCTTTGCTCCGTTTATACTTTTACAAAACCGCTAATATCCCCACATAGTGATGCAGTTAAAAGCCCAACTTTAAAATCAAACATGTAGGAAACTCAGTCAATAACCAGGCACTTCTTATTTTTCACTTTTTTCTTGTTGCTTACATTTGCCACTCTTTCCTCTTAGACCAATCTCGCAGGGCAAGTTTTGCCTCTGCAAGACAGTCGAGCATGGAGACCCCTCCGAACACGACTCCGCAGCCGTTCCGGCAGCCGGTGAGTACAGCGACGCCACGCAAGGCGCTGAATGATATACTTTAAGCACTCATTGGTCCTTCTGCGAGCTGCACAAAGTCGCTGTGATGCCTCTGGTTTTGCTCCCTATAAATGTTTTTTACTGTTTTGTTAAATCTTCAGAGTTTTCTCAATCGGAGGTTGAAGGGTTCCATCAAGAGGGCAAAAAGTCAGCCCAAACTAGACCGGACCAGCAGCTTCAGACAAATGATTCTGCCCCGGTTTCGTAGTGCTGACCAAGAGAGGTAAGTTCACGATGGCGTCGTCTGAGCAACAGCCAGGAAAACATCTTTCTAGATTTATATCATCATCGCATAGTTCACAAATTGATTCAGAGTGATTCGTTTTTCCTCAACTCATCTCTTATAAGTGCGATAAAAAGGCTGGTTGTAACATTATAGTGGATTTTTAATATGCTGATCATCTATAATCTATAATATTATGTTACAGTTTGTTATGTGTTGAGATCATCCAATCATTTTGGGATCATGACAAAACAAACCATAAAAATGATTACATCATGTCTTTGAAGGTGGGAGGAAACCTTTATAAATCCAGGGAGAGTACAGTAGCTGCACGGAGAAAGAACAAGAGGCCATGAACATCTTTAACATCGTTGTTCTGGCATTTTGCCTTTTTTTGCAAGCTGACATTGTGGAACCCTTACAGGAGGCATTAGGCTCAACAAACATCACCAGCTGGAGTCAAAACAGAAATGTTGTGGTTCCATGATGTGTCTCTAAACCAGTAGGTCGCCCCTCCATGAACCGCCCCACAGCCATCACAAAGATGGTGGACGCAGACCGTCAATAAGCCTATTTATGCGCTTAGATTGGGAGCGGCGTTGTGCTTTGAACGCTGCTCAACCATTCAATCCAATCTGTTCTTGCGTGGACGGCTGACATCCTGCTTTGTGTGCTGTGTGTTATTTTAGTGGATTAGCTGCGCATGGAAACCTCTCACCTTCTCTGCTGAAGGCCGCATTTCTCTTCAAGCTGCTAGTAGAACATTCCCAGCATCAATGCTGATCTTCAAGGACGCGTATTACTATAGAATGAGCTGACTGACAAGTGGATTCATTCCGGTGCACTCAGGGGTTTTAGCTGTTAGAGCCGTACTCCTTTACTTGGGTGTAGTAGCCAAAATGTTGAAGAAGAGAACCTGATGGTGGAAAACTCTGATGTACAATCATGTGACCTCGATAGCAGAAGTCGATCTTCTTTGTGTATTTTTTGTGCACAAAGTAGAAGATGGATTTAAAAAGAGTGCACTGAGTTTATTCATAGTAAATATATTTTGAAATTCAAGAGACTTTCTTTAAATCTTTACACAAGTGTTTTAAATTAAGTTAGCATTTTCAGTAAGACTTAAAAATTCTTTTAAATGTTTTCTGCAATATTTAAGTCAAAAATTTTCAGCAAGCAATTTTTTTATAAACAGTTTATAATACAGTATGAACAGGCTTAGCTAACCTATTATGTAGAACACAGTAGTCTGGTTGCAAATCAATATTATTCTGCCATCGGAGAAACACGCTGTGGCTTGTTTGTATAGTCATGACTCGATAATCCGACCCTAAACAGTCCTAAACCTTGCTATCTGACAGGTTTTTAGGAAAAGCGAACGGAACCCATTAAAAACAGCCTTAACATACCGACAGCCTTGGATTCTGACTCCAACATGACATTTTATGTCACCAATCAGGATAACGGCGTATTATCTGACTGAACAATCCCACAGATTGGCTACGTTCACACTGCAGGACTTAATGCTCAATTCTGACTTTTTTTGCGAGTTCGTTCACATTTCCAATTAAGTGCGACTTGTATGTGATGTGCTGTGTGAACTTCATACGACCCAAAAGTGTCCCGCATGTGCAGAAGAGGACACGACGACGTCACACGCAGCGAGCGTGCTCAGTGTTTACAGAAGTAAACATGGATGGTGGAAACAGAAGTGTGACCGCTAACGAAACTAGCATCAGCAGCCAAGTACTGCCTCTCTGGCCACTTCCACCCCATCAGAGCGCTCCCTCAGGGTGGAAGTGTCCCCCAGACCGTTCCGAATATTCGGATATTCATCATTAATTGGGCCTGAATATCCAGAGAGCAGAAAGTGCTATTGGACCAGCCCTACTAGTTATTATAACAACTAGGAACAATAATTAACAACAAATGAGCCTTCAAACATCAAGCCCTCCTTGTATCTTGACCTCCGTCTTGACAATCTGACAGCCTCGCTATCCGACATAAAAGAAGGTTTTACATTTAGTGTCGGATTATCGAGTTACGACTGTATTTCTTCAAACCAGTCATAATCGTTGTGGGCAGAGCTAAGCATGTGGCTTTGGTGTTCCTTCAAAATAGTGATGGATGGAAGTGTTTTGGTGGAACCTTTTGCACGCAGGGAAGCCAACACTGTCATTAAAATGGATAATTCACAGAAAAAAACTAGCACGGCTCAAATCCTCTTTAAAACTTGAAGTATGCAGTGTGGTAGTTTGCTAGCCTGGGTTTTCTTGTTGCTGTTTCTCCTAGCAAGTGGATGTTGAAAACGGTAACATGCAGATAGTGGAAGGAGAGGAGGGAGCTGTGTGAAATGCAGGCTTTGACCCACATCCTGCGTCCTTGCTGGAAAACCCTGTGAGATGCTAGTGAAAGTGACAGTAACCCTTAGCAGTTTCCCCACCAATTCACCAAAATGCACAGACATCTTTTTGTGGTTGGGACTGAATCGACCACAACAATTTAAACCTGCAAACAAAGAAACTGTAGTTGAAAGTGTCACCCAACAGCAACACTTCAGCTCAGAATCAGAATACTAGTGTTTGATCTTCCTCCTTCTGGCCATGATGACCTCTACTCTGTAAAGGTTTTCTTCCAGTCATACCTTGAAACGCAGTAAGATGCACGTAATCTACATAATGAGCCGATTTCGTTGACAATGTCCTCGACAATGATTAAGCCAGCAGGCTCTACACTCCAGGCGGTTATGTGCAGTAATAGGCAGGCTAGTGTCAGCAGCGTGCTACACCGTCAGCTCTGAGTGTTAGCCAGACTGAGCATCCGAGCAACCGACTCCTGCTGTCCAAACTGCTGTGCAAACTCAAGACGGATAATGCTGCGCGACTGACATGACTGAGTCACTCTTTCTAGAAAATCACGAGCATCTCAGTTGGGACACTTAATGACAGCGACCTTAAAGCAGCTGACTTAAAAGCAAATCCGGTCACAGCCCGTTTAGAGAAGAGTTAAAAGGTTTCACTGTAGATTGTCACTGAAACTGGTGATTGGGGATTAGTTAGCGACGTTGGTCATCCAGTGCCGTTCGTTTCTACTTTCCACTTTTGCAAGCAATCTATATTTAAACAAGCCACAGTCAGTTCATTTAAAATAACAGATTGGCTTTACCAATTTGTCTAACAGGTTTGAGACCCTACAATGCTGTATAAAATATCAATTTAACCGGTTAAATTAAATATTAGGGTAAAACCGACCCAAGAATAATATTAATCAATGCAAAATTGACCTGATTTTACCTGAGGTTAAGACCCTATGTCAAGATTAAGATCCTGCAATGTTGAGTAAATTAGAAGACTAGTTTAAAATTCAAGTTTAAGACCTTACATATATTGAAAACACAATGAATTCAGAGATTCCCTTTGAGCAGCAAAATAGCAACAGTGGAGGAGGAGATATCCAACAGAACCAGGCTCAGGAGAGGTAGCCGTCTGCCTCGACCAGTTGGGAAAGGGATTGCAGAGACACAGGGACCACCAGCAAGAGATCATGAACCCTGGGCAGGTTGGTGGGATCATCAGCAGCAGATCGACCATAAATAATGTTGTGAGAACCGCAATCAGCAGACAAGAGGATGTGCTCATAGACTCTGTACTATGAAGAGCTCTTGGCTGGATTTTTTCATTTTTCATGCCAGAGGTATTGAAATAGAATGAGAACTGGAGAAAAAAAAAACTTTCTCCAAGACCTTCGGAATAAATGGTGCCTTAGAGATGGGTCTCTAGTTTTTAAGGCCATTAGGTTGGCTGGTCAATAGGCTGGGTTTCTGTAGTAGTGGTTTCACAATTGCCTGTTGGAAGCTGAGGGGAACTATTAATTAGAGCCGATATCAAAGGGCAGATTGTAGCAAAAACCTCCTCAAGGAGGCGAGGCTGTAAAATGTCTAATGGGCAGCACACTGGAATCAAATGAGAGGCCGTTTCAGGCAGCTGCAAAGACGACAGCAGTTGAAGCTTCTGGAGGCGGCCGACTGGATGATGTGTCTCTGAGGGATTGTGGTCTGGCGGTGAGATGTGAGACCTCATAATGTCAGTTTTATTGAGAAAGAAATTAAAGAAACCTCTCCGGTTTCAGTAGTGGGAGCCGTGATAGCGGTATGAATACAAGTGTTCGCGATAGAATTAATAGAGTTAAACAGTATATTAGGTTTGTGGGATTTTTTTTTTTATTGATTAGTCTTGCATAGGATTGAGCCTGAGCTCTCTTAATGGAGTTTTTATATTGCCTTAAGCAGCGTTTTGAAATTTCACATGAGGTTTTATTAGGGATGGACTGATACCTCTTTTTGATTTCCGATACCAATACCGATACTTCAACTTTGAGTATCTGCCGATACCGATACCGATACCATCTCTCCTCCTAAGCTTCTTTGTTTAGGAGAAGAAGTCTCCTAATTTGCATGGATACATTTGTTTAAGATGGCTTTATCAAAAGCCTCATACTATTAAAGCATGGACTTTGCTTTTCTAAGAAAGGAAAAAATAGCCAAAAGCATGTCTCAAAGTGAAACTGTAGCTGCTTTATTTGAGCTGCAATTAGACTACAGTGTGCACTCAGTGCCATCCAGATATTTAGAAAAGAAAAAGGTAATCTGTCCACACTAAGCGGTTCCAGT